TGGGTGTACTATTCCTTTAAGTATAAAAATTCACAAGATGCGCGACATTCCCCATTTTAGGGAAGAGATTTTTGAGAGTTGTCATAAAATACAACTTTATTCTTGTGATGTAATGCCTTTATTGTTGGAAATTTATGATTATTCTAGTAATGTTACGTCTTTATTCTCGTAATATTACAACTTTATACGTCTTTATTCTCATAATATTACAACTTTATAATGTAACAACAATTTTCTTACAATGCTATGACTCTATTGTCATATAAAAAAATAAGTTAAAAAATCTGTAGCCTGCCCCAATACTCCTTCGTAGTAACATGATCACCTATAACGAGGATAAGAATATTGCTAAATTAATTCCCGATCATTAGAAAATGTTTGCAGTACTGACTGTATCGACTGAACAAGAAAAATCAATTTTTGGAAAGCAATTTAAAAAAGGACTTACAAGAGAAGAGAGATGTTGTTCACAAAGAATTTGATCCTGAAGAAAAGGACAAAAGTTGTGGTAGGCACTTTCTTCCAGCTATCTGGAGCCACTTTAGAAATCTTGGTGTCGTTATCAACGAAGAAAAACTCATTATCTGACCAGAGAACAGAGACGTTTGGTGAGCTGCTTCATGTGGAAAGGCTCATCCAGCAGGTGGTCAACCCTAAACCAATCACCTTACCGTCAATATACGCAAGGCCGAAGTAGAAATGCTCAACAAGGTTAGAATGAGCCACGATCATGTCAAAGACGTCTCCTGCTCTGGTTTTAACTTCACATTTCACCAGGATGCTTTGGCCGTTTGGCATCACCACACTGAGCTCTCTGTTGGTGGCTGGAGATTTCCCTTTCCTCGTCTGCAAAAGGAAGAATAAACTTCATGTTCCAATGGCAAAGGGGGTAAAAAGTGTTTGAACTTACCAGGATGGATCCAGGCAGCTCCAAGACGACCAGGGGTTCCTCTAAACCTCGGATAAACTCAGGACCCGTGTCCTACAGAACACCGGGGAAGCTATTAAAGGACACATGGATGCTATTTAAATTAAAGTGTATGAAGAAGGTCTCACCTTCACCTTCTTGTCATTTAAACTGATTGTGGACTCAAACTGGGAGAGAGATCTGGCGCTGCTGGTTCGATTGCCATCCAGGTACGGACTGCAGGGCGTACGGTTCAGATGCTGCCAGCTGGAATAACTTTCTCTGAGTCGACCACCTGAGGAAATCCTGGGGGAAGAGAGTTTTTCCATCTGTCTGATTGGAGGAAAGATCTGTTCCTCGTTAGATAACAGCCGATGGCTTAAAGGGGCAAAATGACTAAACTCAGTGTCTGAATTTGAATTCAGCAGCAAATTACTAAAACTTCCATGAATCAATTTTCTTTAGCTTTCGGGTGCAGAGGCAGCAGTCTAAGCAGAGATGCCCAGAGTTCCTGATCCACACACCTCCTCCAGCTGCTATGGGAGACCCCAAGGCGACACAAGGCCAGCCAGACACATAGTCCCTCCAGCGGGTCCTGGGCCTTCCACGAGGCCTCCTCCCAATAGGACATGGCTGCATCACCTCCACAGGGAGACAACCAGGAGGCATCCGAAACAGATGCCTGAGCCACCTTAGCTGGCTCCTTTCGATGTGGAGGAGCAACGACTCTACTCTGAGCTCCTCCTGGGTAACTGAGCTCCTCACCTGATCTTAAGGCTGGTTTATACTCAGGAACCATGTCGTCTGCATGTGTGTCGCAGTGAACACAAATTTGACACACTGCTGCGGGACGATAACCAGCCCTTTAAAGAGTGCGCCCAGCTGCCAAATGAAGGAAAATAATTTCAGCTGCTTACATTGTAGGTTTTTGAAAGCTGATTTCTTCCCCCTATCATTGCAACCCCAACCCCTTTACAGGGTAAAAGAAGATCTCGCCTATTCAGCCAGGCCAACAATTCCCTTTAACGACCCCCCCCCCCTTACATAGACAGGTATGGCACATTGCAGGCTAACAAGCTAAGCGGCAGACCCGTTCATCCGCTTTAATTTGTATGTTTTCTTAGCCAAAACAAGGCTTTTTTGCGCTGCTGTATAAAACCTGGAACTCAACACTATTTCTGACATTTTTTATTGAAAAAGCTTCCTTGATGGGAAGAGAAACGTCTTCAAACTTGGAAACAATGTCCAGTGGATTGGTTTAATTTTAACTTTTTTGGAATGATTATGACCTGGATGACTGAGAGTCTTCACCTGCAAATCTCCTTTAATGGTTGAAAATATAAGCATTTTTTAAGGTTTGTTCTTTTTACTTTATTCAACCTTTTTTTTGAATAAACAAAAATAACTGAGTCACTTAATTTTGTAGAAGTAACTCCTAAATATGTAACTAGTTAATGTTTTCTATGTAGGTCCCCAACACTGCTCCCAAAACAGCCAGAAACTAAATATATCATCGTTCTCAAATGGCTCTAATTACTACAGAAGAGGATTAGGGCCAATGAAAAAAGAAAAGTTAACTGATTTTTTAATTTTATTTTAGTATAGTATGGGAAAAAAGGCAGAATGACTTCAATCTCAGAATTCTAACTTTTTAAAGAGATTAAAGTCAGAATTATGATTTAAAAAAAGTCAGTATTCTGACTTTTTTCCTATATTAAACTGAAATAAAATCCGTTAACTTTTTTTTTTCAGTGGCCCTAATCCTCTTCCATAAATTACACCTAAAGTTGAAAACTGATTTCTATTGAATGCAAAGAGTAGATTGTGTAGAAACTCTAATTTTACACCTTGGAGTGTTTTTAACTGTGAAAAATACAGTATATTATAGACGTGTATGCAGGGTTATTACAGTTGACTAAAATGAAGTCAATAAACTGTAATCAAAAGAGAAAAAAAAACTCACAAAAACTGTGCTGTGTGTTTGCAAAATGTACTAAAACATACTGAGATTATCAATGTTTCCCCTTTGTTTCAGTTTTAATTCTATTTTAAGACGGATGTGACATCATTTATATATACATATATATATATACACTCACCAGCCACTTTATTAGGTACACCTGTCCAACTGCTCGTTAACACTTAATTTCTAAGCAG